TATGGTGCATGCTACACAACTTTGGTGGCACCTTGGGAATGTTTGGATCCGCAGAGATCATTAATCAAGTACGTAGAAAATCTATAATTTTCTTAAGTTGCTCTTTCTCTTCGTTAAAAAACTAAGTATTCGATTTTTTCTCTGCTATATCATCTAGCATGCCATGATATCAGGTTGTCAGTGTGAAATTATCATAATTTGAAGAATATATAGTTTCTTATAATTAGTATGTATTAGTTTTTCCCAAAAACAATGGTTAATGTATTTTGACTTTTAATGATCTCTCTCTCTCTCTCTCTCTCTCTCTCTCTCTCTCTCTCTTTCTCTCTCTCTCTCTGTCTCTCTCTCTCTCTCTCTCTCTTTTGATATAATGTTTTATATTAGAAAATAAATAATTCGTTATGCATAAAAAACATTACTTAAACAAGGTATGATCGATCACGCGTAAGCCTTATTGATTTTTAATTTTTTACCTAAGATATTTTATTACATATCAAATCTTAATTTAAGTTTCTTCGCAAATTCTTCAATAACGATGAGGATTCTAAAAAAAAACTGTCACATATTCTTTAGTTAAAATGGCCAGTTAGGTAGAACATAAGTTGCGGGATATTTAGTCTATTCTTTCTTTAGCGCACGTTCGAAGGTAGAAATATGAATGGCAGTACGATGGTGGGAACCGGTCTGACACCCGAGGGCATCAACCAGAACTACGTGATTTATGAATTGATGAATCAAATGGCGTATAGTCACGGACCCGTCAACCTTCGTGCTTGGTGAGAATGCGTGCCTCATGTAATTCCTGTGCAAGGTTCTGATGTGCAATAACAGATTTTTTTCGAAGGGATCTTAAAGCTTTACCGTGTCTCGATAATCTGTCAACAGAGTGGGCTTGTACGGAGTTACGTAAAGAGCTCGTTAATTAAAAGCTCGTTTAATTAATTAAATTAATACAAGATCGTTGATCGACAGGTTCCAAAATTATGCTGTCCGAAGATATGGCGCACGGAATAGCTATGCGATGGATTTTTGGCAATACCTTGGCAGAACAGTTTATAATTTTATCGGCACCCAAAAAATCAGAGGACATTATGTCATCACCAGACGACCAAGTTTAAATATTTCATCATGGGTATAGACACACATATTAAAAATTGTGATTGATGCACATGGATCGATAGAGCTTTCCATAAGCGTATTTCCAATATATTGGATGATTGCATAAGTTCGTGCCCGATTTTCATAGATGGCATTAAGTTACTGCATGGGTGGGATCGCAAGGGAATTATTTACTTTGAGCTGCTCCGACGCGGCGAAACAATCACGGCGGACAAGTACTGTGAGCAACTAACTAGACTCGCTGCAGCTATTCGAGAAAAACGTCCGATTTTGGCCAATCGAAAAGGCGTCATCTTCCACCACGACAATGCTAGGCTACACGTCGCTCAACAGACGCTGCGAAAATTGCAGGAGTTGCAATGGGAAATTCTGCAGCACCTGCCATATTCTCCAGATATTGCGCCTTCAGATTTTTATCTGTTCCGGTCTTTGCAGAATAGTTTAAATGGCAAGAATCTCAATTCCGAGGAAGTTGTCGAAAACCACCTTACAAACTTTTTTCAAGAAAAACCAAGTTCTTTCTTCAAAAATGGAATCGACAAGCTTGTAGATCGTTGGAAAACCATTGTAGAAAAGAATGGAGACTATATAATTGATTAATAAAAGTGTTATCTCTAAAATATAATCTATTGAAGTTTATATTTAAATCGGGCACGAACTTATGCAATCACCTGATAGATAGACAATTAAATGCGAAAGCTTAATGTATATAAACGTAATGAAATATATAATTAAATGAAAAAAATAGATAAAAATATAAAATTTAATTATTGAGACAAAAAATATATTATATTATAATTATATTACGTATTAAAATGATAAATTATGATATAAAATTATTTGTTTTCATATATAGATTTGGTATAACCGAAAAGATTTCTATTATATGTGGAATCTATTCTTAGAAGCGAGATACGATAGTAGAAATAGTACTCTCTACAGACATGACGTGGTTGATGTAACTAGACAGGCTCTCCAACTAATGGCCGATGATCTATATATGAATGTATTAGATTCCTATAAAAAAAAGAATATTACTGCCTTTCGGTGGGTGTATATTTTACGTTATGCATGATATTATTTTCTTAACTTCTATTACATAAATTTTTACCTTTCTCACATTAAGTAAAATAAAAATCTCTAAGATTGAAGAGATAGAAAAAAGATTAGAATAAAATTTCTAATATAGTTAACGCATAATTATTATTGTATAATAATAATAAGCTCTTGTAAAATGTAATTTATATTTAAAATTTTTATTTATATTAACTTTATAGATCATCCGCGAGCACTTTGCTGGAACTTTTCGATGATCTCGAATCTATTCTATCATCAGGAAGTAATTTTCTGCTGGGCACCTGGTTATCTCAAGCAAAAGATATGGCCATCGACGAGGAGGAAAGGCGATCCTATGAATACAATGCGAGGAATCAGATTACCCTATGGGGCCCAAACGGCGAGATCAGAGACTACGCGAATAAACAATGGTCGGGAGTGATGGCGGATTATTTCAAGCCCAGATGGGAGCTCTTCCTGAATGCTCTCGAGAAATCGCTAGTCCAGGGAACTAAACTCAATACAACTGAGATTAATAATAGAATATTTCAAGAAGTCGAACGGCCGTTCACTTTTTCCACGAAGCTTTATCCGGTAGAATCGAAAGGTATATAGGTTTCTAACAATTGTTCATAAATGCGGCATTAATTGCTCCTATTTTACTAGCAAATGTCTTCATTTTTTTACTATTAATTTCTCTAAACACATTTACATTATTCACTTCTCTGTGGTTGATGATAATTGGAATCAAAATGTTACATATATCAAGTTTACTTTATTTTATATTAATATTAATAGATTTATATTAATATTAGATATTAATATTAATGGATTCGTTATTTAAATATAGAAAAGTATTAAAAGGTAAAACTGTATAAAAGATAACACACTTCCGATTTTATTGCCACTTAAATATGTTGTAGCGGAGGTTCTTCTGAGTAACTCCCCGCAAGAAATTTGTGAGGTACGGCATTAGTTTAGGAGATATAACAAATTAAAGTTTCATAGTTTTAATACTTTTTCTATTATAAAATAAGGATAAATCAAAGTTTGTTTACGTTGTATTTGTGTAGAGCAGACGTGGAAAAAGTGTTTGTTTATATTTATGAGATAGGTATACACTCATGGATATTTTGTCAATAATGTGTTTCACCTATTTCTCATGACTATACGAAATTTTAAGTCTTGTTGAGGATAGGAATATAAGCATAAGCAGAAGCATAAATTTTAGTTTTAAATCAAAAATAGGTTTGGGTTAGGTTATATCTTCCGCAAGTGGAGCCCCCCCCCTAGGGGGGAAGGAGCGGAACCCACTGCATCTACGCATACACTTTTCCATCCATACAACAATTGTGGGGTGGACCTCGCTTCGTCTTGTAAAGTAAATGCGTGGACAGAGTGGGTCTCCCCCGCCCCCCTACGGGGGGTTCCACTTACGGAAGATATAACCTAACGCAAACCTATTTTCAGTTTTATCCCCGCCCCTCCCCATCCACGCATTCAATAAATAATATTTTTGAAGACTCAGAAATTCACGTAGTCGCATGTTGAAAGCTGTTAACGAACTGCGAGAAATAGGTGAACATTATTGACAAAATATCCACGACCGTGTACCTATCCCGTAAATGTAAACAAACTTTTTCCACGTCTGCTCTACATAAATACAACGTATACAAACTTTGATTTTTCCGTATTTTATAATAGAAAAAGCATTAAAACTATGAAACTTTAATTTCTTATATCTCCTAAACTAATACTGTCTCTCACAAATTTCTTGCGGGGAATTACTCAAAAGAACCTTCCCTTCAACATATTTAAGTGGCGATAAAATCGGAGATGTGTTACCTTTTGTATAGTTACCTATTAAGAAAATAATATAAATGTAAAGCATTAGAGATAATGAATGTGTTTAGAAATAATTAGAGATAAAATAGAAAATATTTATTTAACTACTCGTTTTTTAATAGTTTCTTGCGAGAAATCTGAAATTTTACTTTTTTTTTTCAGGTGATACTATCGATATAGCGATGAAACTAGTTTCAAAATGGTATAATGAAAAAACACCATCATCATCATCATCAAATATGAAACCATGCTGAGAAACGAATTACAGGTAATTCGGTCTTGTTTATTTAGACACACACACTCACACACACACACACACACACACACACACACACACACACACACACACACACACACACACACACACACACACACACACACACACACACACACACACACACACACACACACACACACACACACACACACACACACACACACACACACACACACACACACACACACACACACACACACACACACACACACACACACACACACATCTTTACAAATTTTGAATGAGTTTGACGAGTTAAAAAGTTATCCAATAGTTGTAGTAAAATAAAAATATTAATAAGCAAAAACGTATCAATGACAACGACAATTATATTTGCATATAATTTATACCATGTAGTTAAATATATATAAATTGATTAGAACATGCATATTATTTACTTTCAATAATTTAATATATAAATTCCCTTCATTGCTATATATTAAATATAATGTTGGCAGATATCTTCTCATAATCTCCGATTTCCGCTAGAATATAAAAACCTACATAAGAAATTTTGTACATTTTGTTGTAAATTTTGATATATATATCCGTGCTGAAAAAATGAAAATAAGCGTTTCAATCAATAAATAAATCAATAAATAAATTTTATATTTTCATTAAAATTTATATCTCAAGAAATATCTAGTATATCAATGTTTTATAAAATAATTTATATATGATTTATAGAATAATTATGGTTTATAAAATAATTCTTAATAAGCCATATATGCATTTCCGTATCTCTTGAATTGCTGAAACAGAGCTTTTGAAGCCCAAAGATTCATTATTATAATATTTTTTAATGATACATAAGGATGTAAAGAATATAAGAATTATTTCTTTATAAACAAAATAAATTACGTTGCAAGAAAATTATTTATATCTCTATTTCTTGAAGAGAAACAAGAATTACAAAGAAATTCTTCTGTCAAGGGGAATCAGGGCATATAACGTAAAGGTAACAGGCGTCTCAAATCCTTGTTGAGCGCGCTGGCAGGATCGTCGAGATCACGCAGCGTTTGCGATGTCTTTATTTTTGCGTCATCTCTGGTGAGCTCGTTCCGCTCTATTACTTTTTCTAGGAGCTTCTTCAGCTGTGATCCGACACCACCCTCGGCTGATGAATGCAGATTCTTCAGAATTTCGTCCGAATAACCGGCAAAACGCGCGAATCCTTGCTTTCGCGCGTCCTTGCTGAGAACGTCATAAAGATTCGCCAGTTGTTGAAGAGCCGGTCTGACTGGCACTTTGGCACGCTTTAAGTAGCTGTTCAAACTTGGCCGCGGTACTTGAGACACTTTCTCACCCAACAGAGTGAACCTGTGGCGGCAAAGGCACAAACAAAGTTCATTAAAAAACTGCTTTTTATTAACAGTTTTTAAAATCTAGTCAGTATTCATTTTTGTGTTTCTTCAGGTTCTTTTAGATCGGCGCAGGAATTACACTAAATTATACAATACATTCTTTGTTACATTTACATTTTTTTGAATCGATAAATTAAATATAAAATTTAAACGTGATATTAATATACACGCAATGTAGAGAAATATTTCTTTCGGGCAGTTATGTCAAATAACTCTTATAGGATTCTATTAATTTTCTTCAGAAGTGGATGTAACAATCGTTTCTGTGATAAAGACATTATAATGCAAATAGTTATCACCTCGTTTCTTCTTCTTCATCCTCAATAGTCTCCATCTTCTCGATTGAAATTCCTGTCGCACTTTTCGATTCGCCGGTAATATCCGATTCCTCGCTGAATGGGGAAGTGCTCGTTTTTACGATTCCATAAATTTCGTCCACAACGCTATCAACGGTCGGTTTTTTCTTTATCTGGCCATCCATAGCTTTTGTGATAGAAGTTTGTGTCGATTGCTGTTGCGAGAATTCTTCGCTCTTCTCTGGAAGCTCCTGATTCGATTCTTGGGTCTCCTGCACCGGCTCCGGTAATTCGTGATTCGTTTCCGGTGTGGCCGGTGATTCATAGTTCATTTCAGCCATCTCTTCGTTTATTTCAGGTAATTCTTCATGGTCAACCAAACCACTTAAAGTCAAAGTTTCCGCGTGTTGAGTCGCTTCTGTAAGATCATCGTAAATCTCGGATGATCCTTGACTCGATGTCTGACTCACCGGAATCGAGGCTATTATTTCGGGAGTTTCTATTTTCTCATCGTATACTTTTGTGGTTGTAGCAGTTGTAATCATGGAAGTCTCCACGGGTATCGTCGATTGCGATTGTTGATATATCATTGATTGAGTTGCCGATGTCGGGTTAGTTACTAACGATTCTTGCAATATTTCTTCCGTTTGGAGTAATTTCAATTGCTCAACCGTGTGAAAAATTACCTGATTTAGAAGTAAATTTTTATAACAGCGTTTTTTCGATATTTTTCCGTACTTCAAAAACTTAATGAATATAATAATTCCATATAATAATTTTTCGTACTTTATATTATATTAGAGAGAATAAATTTATATTGTAGAATTATATTAAAATTGTTTAAAAATTTTTGATATATTTTTGTGATTTATATAAATTAAAAAATTATTATTTACAAAAATGTTGCTACAAAAATATTACTTTCGTCAAGTTTCTGATATTACTCTATTCCAGTAAAGTCTATTAAGTGGAATAAGAAGACTGGATATATGTGATAAGGAATTAACAAAGAAACATTAAACATGTAAAATATATCCGAACTATTACGCGCGCGAGAGCATAATGTTCAGAATCTCTCATTAAAATTAAGCGAAGTGACTTACCTGCATGGCGGCAGGGAGATACGAATTCGAGTATATTGGTGTTGAAAATGCCGGCGGTTTCCTAACGATTCCGGCGATAGCCTGAAGCAGTAAGGAATTTTAATTAACATTTCCGTTGAAGTGCGTGAATATACGTATGTAGTTCTCCGAGCCGTTAGTCGCGATTACAACTATAGCGCGCATGTTTATATGGAAATATTTCACATCAAAAGCAGATCGAATGAGAATATTATTAATATAATGTTAAATATCAAAGTGAATCGGGGATGACATACAGAATCATGCAAAGTTAAAATTACGAATTGATTTATAAATAAAGAAACATAAATGGTATAAAATGATCTTTACTCAAATTAATATTTATAGCTATTGTAGCGTTAAGATATAAAAAAACAGTCATATTTTCTGTTATTTTATATGCTGTAGTGTTAAATAACGCAATAGCTTACTCTGACAATATTGATTACCGATATATTCAAATAAACTAATAACACAGTAACAATAAATATCGCTTACTTGTCGAAGGATTAAAATCCCCATCAAACTGCATAATATCTTCATGATGAGATTTTTTTTTTTATTGATCCAAAATAATTTCCACCTCTTCAAACGTGCACTATATCACAACTCTGCTATATGTTTTTAAACATAAGCTTACCAATTAATTTAATAATAAAAAATTTATTTATTTATAAAAAGAAAAAATGTCACGTCGTTCTTGAAAAATTTCAAGTTCAAGGCAAGTAATTGCCTTTTGCAAACAATCTCAAATATTTTATTTATTTTTTTGGTCAAAACTTCCGAAGTTGCAGATAGTCGTCGAATAATCGGCAATTTTCGCGTACACAATCTCGAGGTTCGCAGGCGACCGTTGGGACGAGACTGGTATCGAAAAGACATAACGGTTCCAGATCGTCCTCGACGTCGCACACCTCCACATTCTTACGCGTATGTAAACGAGCAGTTCCCTGTGCAGGATTGTTAATTGCGTGACGAGCCGGTTAAGCGCACACGCGTCCGCGAACCGGTGCTCGATGATGCCGGTAATAAGTCACACCGTAACGTCTAGACTGATTGTAAATCGTCATCAGCATATCATCCTCATCTTGAGACAAAAAGTCAATGTATTTTCCGCTATGCACTTGGGTCATTCCGATCTGAATAGCTTCATATACATCAAAATCTGCATTTATTTTAATTTACAAATTAATAGAATAATTTATACAGTTCATAATATTATGAACTGTATAAAATATCATCCTAAACATATGTAAGTATGTCAAAATGCTAATAATCTTTAAGCCCGTATCATACTACGTATTGAAGACTGAAATTTGACCAATCAGGATAAAAGGAATTAAAATTTCCTAATTGGCCAAATTTCAATCTCAATGCATAGTCTGATACGGGCTTTAAGATGTAAAAATCTAGATAATTTTATATAGAATAAAATTGAGAGACGAAAAGAACTATTTCATTTTTTTAAATTGACCGAAGAATATGAAGTTATAGCATAACTTCATATTCTTCGGTCAATTTTAAGAAAGCGACATTAATTGGCATCTATTTAATTAGCTGGATCATTGAATAATGACTAATAAACCATAACTGTTCTTAAAAAATAATTAAAAAATGTACATAAGAAATTAATTACATTTTCATAAAATAACAGCAGAAGGAAAATCAAGATAGCAAATAAAATTTTTTGCAAATACTTTCACGTAATGGAAATATATACACGTATTTACATCCTGTATGTGTATACTGCTATCGTCGACGCATAATCTAACTCGACTAACACCGTGACCGCAATCGCGTCTTCCATTTTCTGCTTTAATGAATTTTGAAATTTATGGCTATCACTTCACTTTTGCAACAGAGCTGTTTTTTCCATCGTGTACTACTATTCTTTTTCCGACGCATAATCTAACTCGACTAACACCGTGACCGCAATCGCGTCTTCCATTTTCTGCTTTAATGAATTTTGAAATTTATGGCTATCACTTCACTTTTGCAACAGAGCTGTTTTTTTTCCATCGTGTACTACTATTTTTTTTTTCATTACGGCATAAAGTCAATTTTTCATCGAATCAGCAACTACGGCAAAAACTGGCTTAAACGCTATGAGGCTCCAACATGAAAAAATCACAAGACTTTCCGACGACAAGGCCACATTAAACTTTCCATAATTGAGCAATTTATAGTAGCTCTCTTTTTGCGCCTGCTTCATCGTATTTCTATTAATAATTTTTAAAACATTATTTTCCAAAAGTCTATAAAAACTTTTACGCGTTCTTTTGTTAAACTGTTTTGTATTTGGATAATTTTGTCTGCTTTAAATTAACCACGAATTGAGTCCCGACCTTCACGCCACGATTTCGCGAGAACGATCCAATAAGAACAAAATTTCTTGGTCAAAAACAACTCTTTCAAGGAGAGTTGGTTATGGCATATCGTTTGAGAACAATAAAAATATATGACCTGACCGGTTTTTTCAAGCAACTCCCATGCCGTTCGTTTCACGACTTCGAAATTATTATCCTTATAGAGCTCGTAGTATTTATTTTCCTTTATTCATAACATAAAAGTTTATTAGAATCGACTGTGTACGAAGAGACTAATCTGAGAAAAAGAGCCATGTATTATATATAAAATATAAAAATTTTTTCCAACGTTCAAGATAAAATAAACAGTTAAAATATAATTTTTTCGTCCTAAAGTTTTATAATGCAATAAAATATACCAATAAAATAATTCTTTGAATATATTATTAACAAGATTATCATCATCAAACTGATAATAATGAAAAAGGTATTGAGATAATTTCTCCTTTCTCTTTTCCTCTTAATAATGAGACTGTATCATAATAATACATATATAATATTTGTTTTAATTAATGTTCAAAGAGTATTTTTAAGAATATTCATATTTAACGAAATTGGGATTATAACAACACGTTGTAACAACAGGATTTCTCCTCGCGGTTTGTTTTAACGAGATATATTTGGTGTGATTGCAACTATATAACTGCCGTCATAATGAGCTTATGTGGGCGCCCTTATGCGATTACGTTCCACTTATTACGCGTAAGATGGCATATATAGACGCATCAAATACGGTATTGCTTTAGTCTTAACCAATACATATTTCACGTCGCAAGAATAAGTTACACAGGACGCTGTCAGAATTCTTTCATCGTAAAACTCTTTCCAAATGGCAAAAGTACCTACGTTTATGTGGATGTTACTTACGGCGGTAAGATATTTAAAACTCATAAACCTTAGTGTAATTTGAATTTTGCAACTAAATTTACTAACAAATCTTATAAGATAGCTCTCTGTTCATCAATGTCAAAATTAACAATTTATTTGTTATAATTGTGTGTAAAAATATGTTTCTAAATTCGTAATAAGTATGTAAGTTATATTTGTGCGTATCTCTTCTTTTTATATATTATTATATAATTCTATTTCTTACATTTTATGAATAATATTCTAAAAAAGGGTTTTTTTTTAATTTATATATATATAATATATAACTAAAGATAAAAAAATTTTGTTTAGAAAATTTATTTAAAATTTTTATGTTTTTCACGATATATTTTTTAAGTTTTCTTTATATATATACATGTTAATATAACACAATTTTTTTATATTAATCTCTATATTCAAATTTTATGATATCAATAGAAATATTTTTCGAACGCAATGTTATCGAACATAGATATAAGCATTATATAAAGTAATTACTAACTATTATGATTTAGCTAATTCTCTCTTTAAAAATTTTATTCATGATAATAAAAGTAAATAAAAATTTGTGGAAAGGCTGCAATAACACAGGGGAAACCACCGTATCCGTCAATCGACGAATCCATCAATGAGGTCGATCATAACGCGAAATCACAAAGAAATCTACCCGAATCAAAGCAACTGGAAGAAAACTCTGCTTTATCGACTAACGAGACATCAATAACGGCCACTACGCAAATTGATGCAACAAACTCGGCAGCTGATATCATAATCGACACGACCGTACGACCTGTAAGCGCCACTTTGTTGATTAAAATTTATAATTAAAGTGAGATCAAAACCTTTTCGTGATAGTAATGTCCTATGATTTAATCCCGTTAATTATGATTTGAATATGTTGTTAACTGCCAGAGTTCATTTTAGTAATTTGATATTTCTATTTACAAATTCTGTTTGCTCTAGCATTATTAATTTAGTCCATTAAGTACTTAATTAAAAACCATTTATCATTTATAAATTATTCGTATTCAATAAAGATTATATGATTATAGAGTTAATATATTTAATAAAATATATTAAAAAGATAACAAATAGACAAATTTTAATATCAGTTTTTTCAATGCTCAGATTCATATTCTCTGCCTAAATTTTCTAAATTTTGTAAATGTATATTGGTGATACTAATTAATTTTTAAAAAGAAAAAATCATAATTTCCTTAATTTTTCTCTCGCATATC